CCTTCTTCTCCCCCTCTTCTCTCCTCTCCCTCTATCTCTCCCTCTTTCCCTTCCTCCTTCCCTACTTTTTCTTTCTTTCTTTTGTATTTTCTTTTTTTTCTTTCTTTTTTTTCTTCTTCCGTTGCTACCTCCTCTCTTCATCCCTTCGCCCTTTCTCTGTAATTTATTTTCATTATCAATTTTTTTTTCTTTATTGCCTACTTGAATTTTTTTTAATTATACCATATATTTATAAAAATATATTGATTATAAAAAAATAGAAAATGTTTCTTTTAGAAGAGAAAAGAAAAAAAGAATGAAAGAAGAATGAAAATCGAAGAATAAAATTAATAGTATAAGTGTTACTTCTATTCTAGAACCAAGTATTACTTCCTCAGCTAGATTGAATGACATCGGGATTTTTATTACATAAAATTCTTTTAAAATTTCGCATGCTTTGTAAAATTGTTACTAAATAGTTACAGAAAAATATTTTGTATAAAAGCAAGATCAAAAAGACGAAACAGGTCGAAGAGAGTTGGTACAGGTAGCAATATAATTATGTTGTGCCTATCGTGAGAACGCGAACGATTCGCGCGTGGATAATCAACTTCGGAGTTGCGATAAGCAAGTGCGCGCGATATATGTCAAAAGGATCGAAAATGCGTTGAGAAACTAATTAACTAGATGACGATGAAACGCATTAAAAGCATAAAAAAGCCAAGCAATCAATTATTATGCGCGCTACGTGCCGATGCCTTCTAGCATCCTGGTTACTTGTACCACGTCGAATCGATTACGTGCTCGACGAACGGTCGAGTTAATTTACTCACAGACTCTGCGACAAGAACCGCGACAGTGCCAACTTGCTGATTCGATTGTTTTTCAGGCCATCCAACATTGCAGAGGCTGCGATTTCCATATTCGATCGTTCCCTGAACCAAACTAGAAACGGAACTACTTTTCGTATTCGTTTGTTTGTAGACTTTCTGAGCTGATTATCGAGCAATGAAAACTTTTGATGCTTTAACGAATGTATTCATCTCGTATATTCTTCTAACGAACGAAAACGCGTCTCCGCTTGTTGTCGATACCGAAGAGGATCGATATATTATAGTATTATATGTTGACTGATGATGATGCTATTCCATGGGAGTAGTTGTTCGAAGAAAAATATATTAATTCAAAAAGCGAATTATACAAACACTATTACGAATTTTCTTTTTTAATTAAATGATTATTAATTTTTCTTATTTTTTTTAATTCAGCTTGTTGAATTTGTGATACATTTTTTGTCAAATCGTGTCGCATGATTCAAAATTTTTTATGTTAATTTTGATAATTTTCTTCTTTCTTTTCTTTCAAATTTCATAACATGTTTGTTACAAATATTAATGTATAAATGTAATATTGTATAATAAATACATTGTAATAGATATTGTATAATAAAAATACTCCTCTTTTACTGTTTGTTACCCTTCCTTTTTTTTTTCGTTTTCGCTCTTTCTTTCAATTTTTCTTTTTGTTTTTTTTTACATCTCCCTTTCTTTTCACTTTTTATAATTTTTTTTCCATTGCTATTTTTTTTTGCACTTTTTTGAAAAAAATAAAATTTAATCCGAAAATATCGCCCAATATTTTACACATTTAAAATCCACTTCTTTTTAGAGGCACTTTTATTTTTACATTTTTATTCTCCTTATATTTTCGTATTCTTTCGTTTTTCTCTTTCAAGCACTATTAATTCCTTTTTTCCTTTTTTACGAAAAAGATTGAAAATAAGAGAAAACCAATTCCGCGACAATTTATACTATTTTTGTAACGGAAAAAAAATTGTTCCGCCTACAAAAAATAATAATATGATCAAAATTTACAATGTAGATTTTAAATGAACGAATAACTTATGATAAGATTATTTGAAACATTCGACTAAAATTAAAAAATACGTAACTTGATATATTTTAAAATATTAAATTCATCGATAACACATTGATATTTTTTAAATATTCTATTAATAAAATTAACATTGATCCGACCTGATGACTTATTTATCTCATTATTTGTGAGATAAGTAGAATTATATTATTGAATTATAATAATCAATAATCAAATTAATAAACATATACATTGTAATAAAAAATTAACAATAATAATAATCGATGTTATAATTTTAACACAAATATTTCTTTACTAAAACAAATTGTAAATTGATTTTTTTCTAGAAAAAAAGAAAAAAACTAATCCTTTTTAATATTTTATAATTTTTTAAATATTTCCCATATTTTTTTCTTTCTAATTTTTCTCTCCATTCGTTCTTCTTTTTTTTCTTCTTTGTTTTTTCACATCCACTTTTCTCCTTTTTTTTAACTTTCTTTCCTTTGTTTTTTCTCTATCTTTAAATTTAAAAATATTAAATGTCTATAACTATATATCTTAAATATTATATATTTTTCATTAGTTTTCGAAAAAAAAGATAAATAAAGAAAATATCAAAGAAATGTTTTAGTTTATTCCTTTTCTATCCGATAATAATTTTAATCTTTAATCCGATTATAATTTAATTCATGATTTTGATCAAAGAATTCGTCGAAAATGTGATAAGTTTAATCAAAGATTTGATCAGATAAAATGTAAGGATAATGGTGCACACGTTTGCTTTCTAACGAATCTAACAAAATGATATTAATATAAAGAGTAAGAGAAAATAGGGGTGAAAAGACAAAAAATTGATCAATGATTAATTACTGAGAGAAAATTATTTGAAGATATTAACATTAGTTTATAATTAAAAAAAAATTGAATTATTCTAATTATTGAATTATTTCGAAAACCAGTCAAAATTAATACACTAGAATTCGTACTTTCAATCGATCGAATCAATGTCGATTCTTCGTTATATGATAAATGTATTCAGCCATTGCTCTTCGATGGGAGTATCCATTTTCCTCGATTTTCTATTATATTCTCCGCAAATAAGGACAAGGACAATAATAACAAGGACACATCAAGGAATACAACACAGAACGATGAGACAACAACGACAACGTTGAAAAAGATAGAATGAAAAATACTACAAAGACGATAACAACGACGAAAACAGTAACGACGATGATGATAACACTAATAAGAAAAAATGAAGATCGATATTAGAAACGAGATATTCTTGAAAAACAGATACGAATGAAAAATGTAAAGAAGCGGTCCAACGATTATTATACGCTTTGTCCAACGAACGAGACGTTTGCTAAACGCGAACTACCTCTCTTCTCTGCTATGACCTACTCGTACACTGCTCTCAGCTGCTTTCAACCCCCGGAATCCTACCATTACCCCTATGACCAATCCCCACTTTCTCCTTCCTTCCTCTTCTCCTCATCTCTTCTCTACGTTCCTCATCAGCACTTCCTTCTCTTACCTTTACTCTCGTTCCCACCCATTTCTATCACTTTGTATCCCACTCCGAATTCTCCCACTCTATACTTGCAATGTATCCCTCGATATGACTGTTCTGGACTTTTGCTTCCCCTCCTTCACTCCTGTCAGGATTAACTATATATATATACAGTCTCTGTCTCTCCGCAGTTTTCTCTTTTGCCCTCTTTTTGCTCACACTATTTTCTTTCTTGATAAATCGCTTCGTTCATTTCATGATTCTACCATTTTTTATACCGAATATCCTTTATTGTCCAACAATTTTGCTCATATTATATAAATATATGTATATTCTTAATTGATATTCTTTTGTTTCTTCATTTATTTCTCTATAACTCTAATTTTGTACACATTTCTTTTCTTTTATTATCCTTTCAAATACATTTCTTATTTTCTTTTCATGCTGTTTTGTTTTGTTTTTACATCTCTTTCTTTTTTACATCCTCTATATTTTTTTTCTTTTTTATTTTTACTCATGTATTTATTTTTCATTTTATTTTTCCATTTTAATTTTTTGCAAGTAATAATTTGTTCGTTATTCTTTTTTTTTTGATATGTTATTATATTATATTATACTTCATATTATTATATTATAATTCAGTTTTTTAAATTTTATTGGAAATATTTTTTACAATTTTATGCTTTATATATATATATATATATATATATATATATATTTGTTTTTATTTATTATATTTGCATATATAAAGCAAAAAGAAACATGCAATTATTACATCTTTTTGACATATTTAAATTAAGTATTACATTTTTATGTATTGTAAGAAATATTTTGATACTGAAATATATAATACAATTATATAGTACAATTAATAAGTATAATAACAATTATAATATTAAAACAAATTTATATGTTATTTTAATTCTTAACTATAGAATGTGAAATC